GCTGGTGGATGGGGCGGGGCGAGGCTGGGTAGGTGGAGCCAGACTGGGGCGGGGCCAGGCTGGGTGGGCGGAGCCAGAGCAGTGGTCAGAGCTGGTGTGGGGCGGGGCCAGGCCTGGTGGGCGGGGTGGCCTGGGCTGGGCAGGGCCGGCCTCCCCCTGCCAGCACCACCCCCAGCGCGGCAGCTGAGCTGTCTCTCCCCAGGGCACCTGCTGGACCTGCTGAGGGCCCGAGGCAAGAACGGGGCCGTCGCCTTCCTGGAGAGCCTCAAGTTCCACAACCCGGACATCTACACCCTGGTCACCGGGCTGCAGCCCGACGTGGACTTCAGCAGCTTCAGCGGTGACCACACGCTCTTTGTTTGGGGGGTGGCCTGGGCTTCCGGAGACCCTTGTGGCCTTGGTGTCCACCTTGCCCGCCGACTGTGCCAGGCAGCTTCCCTGCTTCCCTCCAGGCAGGCTCCTGCCTGCCCTGGGCCTGGGCACCCTGGGGTGAGGAGACCCCTCTACAACACAGTGGGGTGGGGAGGAGAAGCAGCCCCCACCCTGGGATCCACAGAAAGATGTGTCCCTAACTATAGGGTGCAGGCAGCGGGGCGCACGCCCTACCCCAGAAAAGCCGGGGCCCCTTCCCGGGGGCCAGCGGGGCCGCAGCAGGTGCTCGCTGGGGGTGAGAGCCGTTTCCTGGCGGGGTAGTTTCAGGCTGCAGATGCGTGTTGCTCGCGGCCCCGGCATAGCTGAGTTGGCACTGAGCAGTCTCTGCTGACCGGGGGTAGGTCTGAGCAGAGGGTCCCCAGGGAACTGAAAGTGGACAGCTCTGGTCGCTACACCACCAGTCCACTGTGTGTCTAGCGAGGATACCGAGTCCAGCTGAGGCCACACGTCAGGACTGGGCAGGCCGCCGCGGCAGGGAGCTGGGGTTGACCAGGTCTGCTGGAGGCCGCCCATCCGTCCACAGGGCTCATGGAGACGTCCAAGCTGACCGCGTGCCTGGCCGGGGCCATCAGCAGCCTGCAGGAGGAGCTGAGCCAGGAGAAGGAGCAGAAGGAGGCGCTGCTGCAGCAGAGTCGGCGGCTGCAGGCGCGCCTGGGCCTGGCTGAGGCCCGTGCGGAGGAGCTGGGCCGGCTGGAGGCCGACCACGGCCGCATGAAGCGCGAGGCCAACGCCCACTTACGCGAGGCGCTCAGGCTCAAGGACGAGATGCTCAGCCTGTCGCTGCGCTACAGCAGCGCGCTGCAGGAGAGGGAGCTGGCCGCCTCGCGCTGCCAAGGCCTGCAGGAGGAGGTAGGTGGGCGGGCGGCGGGGGAGCCAGCCGGGCACCCCTGGCCCGGCCTCCGCCAGAGGCTGCCTCTGCTGCCCAGGGGCCTGCCCTGCGCCCACAGGCCCCTGAGGCCTCCAGCCAGGACGAGGCTGCGACTGCCTCTGCCTCCCAGCCCCTGCAGCCCCTCCCTGCGGCGTCAAGTCCTCCCCCGCCTCCTCACTCCCCTCCCCTCCCCTCCCTCCTCCCTCTTCCTCTTCCCT